TCATAAGATGTCATGTCAATGCTATAATAAAAGCTATTGTTGTAGGAGAACTCTACTAGCGGCAAATGTGTAGCCAAATTGCCTCCGAAATCTAAGGTGCAAACTCTCAGCATGTCCTCTAGGGTCTGTATCGTTCTCTCGGATTGTCCATTAGTCTAAGGATGTGCTGAAGTGCTGAACTTCAGTCCAGTCCCTAAAACTCGATGTAGGCTCTTCCAAAATCTTGAGGTGAAACGGGGGTCTCGTTCTGATACAATGGATATGGAAATTCCGTAGAGCTTCATGATCTCTTCGATGTATAAACTGGTCAACTTTTCCATGGTATACGACATCTTGTAGGGTATGAAATGTGTTGACTTGGTCAGGCGGTCAACTACCACCCATATGGCATCCTCTCCTTTTGCTAAGCGGAATAGTCCAGTAACAAAATCCATAGTGATGTGATCTCATTTTCGTTCTGGGATGGTCAAAAAGGTTGTAATAGTCCTGATGGTTTTTAATGTTCAATCTTCACATGTTGGCATGTTAAACACTTTGACACGAATTCAGTTATCTCCTCTTTCATGCGGTTCCACCAGAAGTTTTGTCGAAGGTTCGGATACATCTTAGTGCGACCTGGATGAAGAGCATATAGGGTTGGTGAGCTTCTCTCAATTTCTGATCCTTAAGCTCCTCATCATTAGGTACGCAAAGGCGATTACCCATCTTCAAAACTCCATTTTGAATCTGAAAGTCTGAATATTTTCCTTGTTCCACCTTCTTCCTTATCTCACATAGCTCTTTGTCTTTCTTTTGCCGCTCCTTGATTTGGTCTAAGAGTTGGTTGTAGGCTTATCTGACAAATCATCATTTCGGAAGAATACTTTCTAATTTTAATCTTCATTCTCTCCAGCTCCTTACTTAAACTCAACTTGTTTAGTTAGCAAACAAGCTGATGCAATATGATTCTTTTGACTGAGTGTGTCTGCTACTATATTAGCTTTACCTGGATGGTAAAGGATATTTACACCATAATCTTTCAGCAAGTCTAACCATCTTATTTGCCTAATGTTAATCTCCTTCTGAGTAAATATATACTTTAGGCTTTTGTGATCTGTATAAATATTAAATGATACCCCATATAGATACGGTCTCCATATCTTCAGGGCAAAAATCACAGCAGCTAATTCCAAATCATGAGTGGGGTAGTTCTTCTCACGAGGCCTCAATTGCCTAGAGGCATAAGCCACCACCTTCTCATGGAGGGATTATCTTTCCACGACATTCTTGAGAAAAAAGGTAATTGAGGATTTTGGAGGAGAAAGTGAAGCAAGTCTCAACCCTAGGTATAATTCTCTTTTACATGTTGTTATTAAGAATATTATATTGAAATTATATGATTTAATTTGGTTTTGATCTTACATGTGAGGATTTTATCATTGCATGTTACTTTGAAGCAAGGATTGGCACTTGCATGTCCATAACTAGTTATAAAAACATGATCTTTATATCTATAAATATAGAAAATATAATAATTACTGATTTTTAAACCTAATGTGATAAAATATTGATCATCTTACTTTGAATTAGTGTAAATATAGGTTACATGTCAATTTTATCTTGAAACAGAATTTCGTGCATAAATTTCCAGCAAGATACCACACTAGTAAAAAGATCATAACTTTCTTTGTATATATCCAAATACGGATATTCTTTTTGTTCTAGAAAATATACTTCTGTGGCTTTCATTTGAGATATTGTTTGTTTAATTCTAAGACCATTTAATAGTTTAAAACTATGATTGAATTCAGTGCATGAGTCTGAAATAGTTTGCATGAGTTATATCCATTGTAAAGAGCATAAATGTCAATATATACCATGCATGCATGAAATTCTTTCTGTTCCTAAAACTAGACTCAATTGTCTTTCTGTTGATATAAGTTTGAATCAATTTGAGTACTGTTTGGTAAGTCTAAGCCTAGTTCTAATAGCTAGTATATGTACTGACAATTCTAGTCTGTCCCGCCTGTGTTATTTTGCATGTAACATGCATTATAAAAATAAAAATTTGATGCAACTCATGAGACTTAGAATCTAATCCATCATATTACTTATATACCAAATAGAAGCCCATTTGTATAGTATTAAGTACCCAAAATAAATTATTCATTCCAGATAGTAATCTTTATTTTTCTGTGTAATTTGCTGAGAGCATAACTCTTACTATACACCATGTATTGATGTAAAATTTTTATATTTTGAAATTAGACTCATAATGGAGTCATGTGGAACTAGTTTCATGCATTTTGGACATCAATTGTTATACCATCCATTCACCTAAAACTATTGCATGTACACTACTTGTGTTGCTGTGCATATTAGAAATATTGAGTGTAATCATCTAGAGTGTAGCTTATACCATGATATAAGTTTTAAGTTAGAAAAATTATAAAAGACATAGTCACATAACGTTTAGAATCTCATGTGGGTATACATGCATGTGTATATAGGACAGAGAATTTTGGATTCATTCGTTGGTCGAGAGAATCCCGGCATAATAGATAGGTAACCTTTCATTGTCTCCTCTCAAGTCTTTGAGAGTTCGATTGATTACTTCTTGAAATTTCTGCGAGTTGGTTTCACATGCTAAGTTGTATATCTTATCACTTTCGTAATATTCCTATTTGATTCACTACATGCGTGGGCTCTTTATTGATTGCTTAATCATTGTTATCCTAATGTTGTTTATTTCAGTTTTATACATCGATATCCTTGAATGATTATATTGCAACAATTCAACTTGCTTCGATGATTCGACTATTGATAATGATAGTATTCCTCTCTTTGTTGATGATTGATAGTCTATATTCATGGATTACGGATTCGACTATTGATAATGATAGTATTCCTCTCTTTGTTGATGATTGATAGTCTATATTCATGGATTACGCCCTGTGTGAAGTAAGCCTTCACCGATGGGTGGTAATAGTAATGGGTCCCGGTGGGGACAATGCCCTGTGTGAGGACGCTCATCGGTAGGTGTATAAAGGCATGTGCGGTTTATTGATTATCTCATGATTGGGGAGTTTGAAATCCTGAATATGAGACCTTGATTATTCATATTTACATGTTATTTCATTTCGATCAATGATCATGATATAAGTATGGCAACTTAATGTTGAGATCTCATTGTTCAAGTTCGAATATCTATGCATATCCTTTTCATTCACCCATTATGTTGTACCTGAGATTTTTATGGTTATCTATTGGGCTATAGGGTCGTTCCTATTGTTTCTATATTCATTCGCAGGTCATACCATCAGCAAGGATAAGGGGATTGAAGACCCTGAAATTGAAGATTAGCTCTGGGAGAAAAATCTTAGTAGGAGTTAATTTATATTCACTTTTGTAGTACTTTTGACTTATCAAACATGTACTAATGTTTGTAGCTGCTACTATTATTGTAATATTTTGTTGTTCCCTTTAGTTGACTTATCAAACATGTACTAATGTTTGTAGCTGCTACTATTATTGTAATATTTTGTTGTTCCCTTTAGTTTTCTTCTATTCTGGTATTCTATGGACTTAGCTGCTACTATTATTGTAATATTTTGTTGTTCCCTTTAGTTTTCTTCTATTCTGGTATTCTATGGACTCTGCTGTCAACCTCGTAATCCTGAGTATTGCATATACATCTCCATTGTTTTATTTTTCGCCCTTCAGTATATCTATATTATGATGTGCATAAAGATTTTTGTCAGGTCGACCCTTCTTATTACAGGTAGGTCATGCCTAAATTTTTATGTACCTCCCTGAGGAGCGTTACATATTTCATGTGAGGGACCATTTGGATGGATGAGTTAATGTGTTGTATATGTGTGTCTATGTGCACGAGCAGGTATACATGTATATATGTGTATATGCAATTATCCATATATATGTATATATGTGTGTATGCAATTAGCAATTTATTTATCATATATCCAAATCCATTTTCAAATGGGGGCCATTAGGATGATGAGTTGAGATGTGTTGTATATGTGTGTGTGCATGCGCATATACATGTATATATGTGTATATGCAATTAGACGTATATATGTGTGTGTATATGCAATTAGCAATGTATTTATCATATATCCAAATTTCCTTTTCATTCTCATACTCCCTACAAAATTGTCTCCTCACATTCTTTCTATCCTCCTCCTTCAGAGACCGGAGAGGTGATAGAAAAGGTTCCCCCCTCCCTCCCTTTGTGTGTGTGCACGCGCGCATATATATGTATAAATGTGTATATGCAATTAGCAATTCGTTTCTCATTACCCAAATTTCCTCTTCAATCTTGTACACCCTACAAATTGGCCTCCTCTCTTTCTTTCCATCCTCTTCCTTTAGAGACTGGAGAGGTCACAGAAAAGGGTGCAACACTTCGCCTATTCTCCCTTCTTTTTCCACCTACAACTCTAACTTACTCTATTCTCCCTTTCCTCTTTTTCCGCCTTAATCCTATGCTTTTAACAATTATGGGTCATCGGCAATCTCCCAAAATGATATTTCAAAGGAAAATAGATAAGCGGGCTTGACCAAAATTAAAAGCTCCAAAAATATTCAGGTTTTATCCAAGATTTGAAACATTTTGTTCAAGTAATTCCAAGTGTAAACATGAAATTTGTAAACTACAACTAAACAAAGTGCAAATAATAAAGATGAAAATTCAAAAAAAGTAAAAGTTCCAGTAGCAACTAATGTTTTCATTGGTATGAAGCAAAGAAACAGCAATATACAATAAACAACTTCTGCAAGGTAACAACTCACTTAAACGTCGCGTTAATGAAAAGGGAAGCAATATAAAATTCACGCACTTAACAATTACAGGTAAAGGAGTTTGTATCCTCAACTCTAGGAGGTTTCCTACTCTAACTAATAAATTTTGGGTAAGTAAATGTATTGAATGTGCTCAAGTCAATAAATTTAATAAAGCAAAAGAACAAACATAATAATTCACAATAATGGTGTTCTGTTACTTTGTCATCAGGGAGTTGCCGAGCTACTTCCCGTGTTGGAGCATCAAAATCCATGTGTTTGACAATGTCAGGATCATCATTTTTTCTCTTTAAGAACCTCTGTGTATGATGCCATACACCAAAGCTTGGAAGATATGAACCAACATGAGATCCCCTCAGCTGCAGAAAAAGATACTTCTGAGTCCGTTGATTTTTGCTTGCTTTTTTTCAAAAGAAAATCAATGGTAGAAGGTGAAGAAAACAAAACAAGTCTCATCAGCATGTTGATTGTTCCACTATAAATGCAAACATTGAAAGAAATGAAGTCCTACAAACTAGGAGACTAAAACATACAGGCATGGTGGTAAACAAAGTAGTCAACATGGGTTCTGCCCTGGCATGCATATAATTCCTTACGTTGCAAGTTAATAATTTAGTCCCTTAATAAATGCAGGAAATTCTGAAGCTTGGAAACCAGGATAGCTAGACAAGGTGAAATAAGCACATGTAGAGTGTAGGTTTGTAGCCCTTTCACATCATTGAAGCCCTTCTTCAGCCATATTAAACCATTAAGTTTGTGTTTAGCAAGTACAGACCCAGAAAAAAAAACTCTAAGCTGCCACGTCTCCAACAGTTTCCAAGCAGGTGGGAGTCAACAAGCCAAATAGAAGAGCTTACTTAGCTGTACTACTAAAATGTAGACTGTAGGTTTGCAGCTCTTTCACGCCATTGAAGCCCTTCTTCATTCATATTAAACTTTTAAGTTTGCGTTGAGCAAGACCCAAAAAAAAATCTAAACTGCCAGATCTGCAACAATTTCTAAGTAGGTCGGCATCAACAAGCCAAATAAGAGAGCTTAGCTAGCTGTACTGCTAAAGCAGAAAGTAAAAACACATCCAGACTGTAGGTTTGTAGCCCTTTCACACCATTGAAGCCCTTCTTCAGCCATATTAAACCCTTAAGTTTGTGTTCACCGAGTAGAGACCCAGAGGAAAAACTTTAAACTGCCAGGTTTCCAATAGTTTCCAAGTAAGTGGGCATCAACAAGCCAAATGGGAAAGCTTACTTAGTTGATGCTAAAGTAGAAAGTAAAGGCCTCCACAAGAAACCTTCATACTATTTCTTTGATGATTTCCTAGTCCCAAATTCCTAAGTGTCTCGAAAAGACACAAATTTGAAACCCAGAAACAGCTACTATATCAAGTTTACAGGAAACGACTGAAGGAGACATAGCTGTTAGCTTCTAGAGTTCTTCACTAGTTTCTCTTCATTAGGCCATAAGAAAAACATATTATTTGTCCCAGAAGAATTACATGTTGAGCCATTAACAAACCCTAATTCATCCAGTAAGTTCAATAAAGATCCTTAATAGCAGAGAAATGAAACATTATTGTAGTCTACCATACGTAACCCCACTCTTCAGTGTGTGTGTGCGCGCGCACATGCATGTACTTTAGTAATATTACAGTTAGGGTTGTCCAAATCTATATGGCGTTAGCAGTCCCAAAGCATTTTGCATTATACTAAACTATCATGAATCTTTTATGGCATATTAATTTTCATGTTAAATATGAAAAGCCCTTTCAGATAACATATATAGAGGTTGTGCTCAGACATCATCCTTCACATACTACCAAATACATATAAGTGAAATAAAAAAAGGAAAGAAAAAAAAACCTTGAGCAAACAGGACTAAACCTCTCAACCAATACAAATTTTCTTATAAACAGAACGCACTCAAGCCCTACAATTCCTGTAATTTCACATAACTAAAGCCTACGATTCAAAGTGTAGTCATGGATGCACCAACATGCTCATCTGTACATCTAATGAATATGGTTACTTCTATAAATTAGCATCCTGGTAAGTGATTTGTGAACTCTATCTATATCGAGATTAGTACCCAAGAAACCTCTTAAATTCATCCATACTGCTCTCGTTTCATTATACATCGACCATTTAATTTGTTCAGATATCAGTGACCATGTCAACTTCGCAAGGGAGTCCTCAATTATCCAAAAATGACCTTGCTACTCTTCTGCTTACAGCAATGCTTGCACCAAAGGCTACAATTATCAGAGATGTCAAACAAGCCTTTTCACATTTACACCAATTTTTTGAGCTTCCACTTTTGCAGCTTAGAAAAACAGTAAAGAAATAAATGCAATGAAAGAATCATACAAATGAGAGGAACTGCAAGAAAAAGGCTATGAGTAGAAAATGAGTGTAATGTGCGATTACCTTCTTTTCCAAATCCAGACTTTCTGAGGCTAATTCTTCAAGCCAAAGAATAACCCGAAGACATAACTGGGCTGTATGATCTTTAATAACAAACTGGCAGGCTTCCTGATGTGAGGTTGTTGGAGACTGTAGGGAACCACAAGACATAATTTCAGAGCAATCAAAACCTTATATAAGAAAATAGGAAAACGCTCCTGAGAACACAGAAAATGTTACTCCACCATACCAGCATGAGCTGTTCAGGTAGCTCTTCATTTCCTGCAAAAAGTTTTCCAAAGAAAATTCAAGACCCTAATGTTTCGCATCAATGAAGAAACAATCCAAAGATTTTACCAGATACAGTTGAGATAAGACTAAGAAGCCACTGTAAATCACATATATATGAAATCAAGGTTTTGTTCATTTAGTTTAGTATTATGAACTGAGAATTCATATAAACACAAGCAGAATTCCATATGGAATATGTCCCACCCACCAAGAAGAATGGACTCAAATCTTCTCAGGTGTTATCTTCAAGAAATTAAAATGGAGTAAATAATGTATAATGAATAAATAAAAACTGAAAGTCTGAGTAGATTACTATTTTCATGAAATAATCTGATAAATTTTTGAGGGACTAAGAACAATCTTCTCAAAAGTTAAATAGTAAAGGTTCTACCACCAAGAATCTGGACTAATGACTGACAATGATGAAAAGGCATGGAAAGGAATATTTCGAATACGAGTCCCCAAAAATGTGTATAAGTACCCAAAATAAGGAACCCTGTCTTTCCTCTGAGTCTCTTTTAGACGGATATTTTGTTGTAACCATGGTTAATGAGAAGCATGGTTTAACAGTACTCTCTTATCCCTTATTGCTCTTTAAAATTGAATTCCCCACTTACTACACCCTTCACTCCCCCAGAATGTATTATCATGGAGGGAAAGATTTTTGTGGTATAATTCCTGTGAGCGCAGAATACCTATGGAATTGAAAGAAATTTCTATAGGACAGCTACAATACCAACAATGCTTTATGAATCATAACGCTGCAATTAACAAGTAAACGCGCAAAAAAATAGTACAGAATAAATGTGTGGATAACACTAAGAAAGAGGATAAGAAAGAAGTGCACTTGTAGGAAGTTACAAGTTGCTCCTATAGAGGAAAAAATGTGAGAGAATTGAGTGAGGTTGTTTGGCCATGTATAGAGGAGGCCACTAGCACGAAGTGATAAGAATATAGTTAAGGCAGCAAAGGAGGCCTAGAAATAGGCCTAAGAATTTGGCTAGAAACAATAGAGTTCACGTGGTGTATTAATCAGGATGGACGATGTCGGTCATCATATCGGGAGCCTATTAGGCTGGCTCACGCTAAGAATTTCATCTCACCATCTCAATTTATTACACACACACATGATGGGTACATGATTTGAAAATTGATATACAACAACTCATAGACTGCAAATTCCCGTTGGAAGATGATAAAAAATGAAGATTCTAAACAGTTAGCTATAAGATACAGGAGAATAATCCAAAGCATAGCCAGGCAAGTAGCCAGTCATCCAAAATGAGAAATATGCACTGGCTAACAGAAAGATGGGTGGGTATGTGTGTGTGTGTGTGCATGTGTGCTTGTGTGTCTTTGCAGCCTCTCTATGAAGGACGTAGCAAAAATTAAAGAAATGGAAATGATTTTAAAAATGGACACTTACCTTCCTGAAAATAAAAGCCAAAATATACACAACACATATATCATATAGTATCAATGTATGCCTTGTGATTCTAAATATGACTTCTACAGAATAACTCCTTCTCCACCTTTTAGTTCTCAGCAAAATAGATCACACAACAAGTACTCCCAACAATTACTGAGATTCTAAATGTAATGGAACCCTAAAGAGACTTGAAAGATGCCACTGAGATGAAATGCTTTCCAATCTTATCATGACCGCACAAATAATGCACAAAGAAAAAGTTTCAGATAACTTAGCACAGAGGCTTGAAGATGAGCATTTTTATATGGTCAAAGAATAATTTCCTTTCCCAAAGAGATACCAAAGAAGCGACCAAGAAGCTGCCTCATCACGCAATAATCGAGCTTTTTGCTGCATAAATTTGTCCTCTACTACCCGATGCCTGCCAGTACTGCTCTGCCTACAAAAAAATGTCAGGAGCTCTTTAGTTTAGAACATGGACACGCAAATGTGAAACATTAAGCAGTAGAAAGAAAATGGTTCTTAATTTAACAGGCATCCATGCATCTAAGAGTTACATAACAAACTGAAACTGTCAGTTCACAGAAAGTGATAAGCATACAAATTATAAATAACTATCCTAATTAAACAAGAAAACATGAATACATTAGATATGAAGCAATGGTGATCAATTCGAGAGAAAAGTTTGGTGCTTAAAGTTTGTAAGGGGGTGTTATTCGTTCCGGATTGTTGATTTGGACTCGGACAATTGTCCATGAATCTGACGGTCTTGGATTGGGACCTGGACTTGGATTTTATGTTTAGAGCCCAGGACTCTTGGATTGGATTTTGATTTTTGTGAGTAGAATTCTTGAACTTTGGTTTGGATTCTTATACTTTTGCTTTAGATTCATAGACTGATGGTCGGATTCTCGGACTAAATTTTAGATTTATGGATTATTTGCATTAAGATTTTCAAATTAAATTATTATGTTGAGTAATAATCATTAACAAAAAAATAAATATTAATTTAAAAAGCGACCCTCATTTCGATTAATGCATGACAGCACAAAACTGAATACATCTTATAATCCATTTAAATAGTTCAAACAAAATGTATGTAAAATAATATTAAATATTTGAAACATTTATATATTTAAGAAATGTTAAATAATGAACATATATAAGTTAATATTAAATAATAAATATGTTAAGTGAGTAAATATTATTAAATACATTTCATTTTAAATGAATCAAATAAATTTATAGAAGTTGATTAAAAATATTTTAAAATAAACACATTCAATGTTAATATATAATAACTTAGAAATATGGAATATTGTAAAATTAAATATATTTAATTTGAAATGTATTAAATATTTAAATAAGTAAAGAGAAGAGGAGAAAGGAAATCCACATAGTTATATCAAAATCCATCAATTTTAACTTAACGCTTTTTCTTGAAAATTTCTCATTCAAAACTATAGAGTTGGAATGGAATGTGGATTTTAAATCCTAGTCCAAATGACAATCCTAGACAACCAATAACACCTTAAATTCAAATCCAAATCCTAGCCATAAACCAATAACATATTAAATTCAAATTCAAATCCTAGTCCTAAACCAATAACACATTAAATTCAAATCCGAATCTTAGTCCTAAACCAATAACACCTTAAATTTAAATCCAAATTCTAGTCCGAAACGAATAACACCCTAAATTAAAATTCAATAAAAAGTCCGAGTCCAAATCAACAATCATCAACCAATAACACTCCCCCCTCCCCCCACACCCCCGGCAACCACAAAGTTTTATTCACGATAAACTACAAAAGGTGGTGATTGGCAACAAACCGACTCTCATTAACAAAAACATTTAATTTTCTGGCTTAACCATAACAAAATGAAGTGAGCAATAATCACATTTCACAAAGTATAAGGATAAAAACAAGCAGCACGTAGAAGTAATGAACAAACTTTAATTTAATAATCACTCAGGTAAAATCAATAATGGCCAACAGAATTTTTGTTCTGATATAATAAGAAATACCAATACATTGATGAAATTGAACTTCAAATTTTACCTAATTGCCTCCGAGACATTTCGACACGTATTTTTAAACTGCAATAATAGATCAGGGAATGACATCAATCCTGCAATATGTACATCAGAATCCATGAGGTAAATAACATGCAAGAACAATAAATGTACAAAAAGGAGTTAAAATGTGCCTTTCATCAATAACGATAGACCAAAATTATGGGAATCTTGTAACAGGTCATATAATTAAGACTGTTCAGCTTATCCATCAAAAATTAAAATTGTTTTATAATTCTAGCTAATTATATCTTTTTTTGATAAAATAACTTACAATAACACAAATTGTTAAAGGGGCTTTTGCTCATAAACCCAAAATTCACTCCTATTTACCAAAAAATCCTAGCTCTGTATATTATATTAAAACCAATATACAAAGTCTGGTTACCCTTAAACCCAAAATATAGAATACAAAGTGTAAAGTTGTATACAGTAAGGTGCATACCTACATACTTTAGCGTGTATAGCTACATACTGTAGGGTGTATAACTATATAATACTGTGTGCACAGCTAGATAGTAGATAGCCAGGGCATATAGGTACATACTCCGTTGGATATAGCTATACACTTGTATTCTATAGTTTGTGTTTAAAGGTAAATAAAGATTATACTTTGGATATATGAGAACATAGAGATTCATAGCACTACATGGGTTTTAAAGTAAATGGGAGTAGAACTTTGGGCCAATAAGCAAAACCCCTTTAGTAAAATTAGACATGTTGGACTTTAATATTCGGTAAGTTTCAACATGATTGGCATTGATAATTAATAAGAACCAAAGAAGACATATTAGCATGTTGTTTATCTCTGCTAAATGGAGGCTGACCAATTTTGAAAAAAATAATAATAGTTTTCAACTCCACTATGACTTCTAGATTTTTTTTTTTTTAATGGATTTGGACCAGCAGGCAAATCCTCAAAGTTATAGTGGATACAGCGCCCTTTATGAATCCAACTAGTGCCATCCCGCAATTATAAATCAGTTTCATAGGAAGCTGCTATGATAGAAACAATAGTCGCATAAATTGCTGAAGTATGTACATGATAGAGCTTGGAAGGACACTTTTTCTACTAGCTCATACAAGACTTATCAACACAATTCTAATAGATTATTTTCATTGCACATTAAGTTGAAAGCTAAAGTCAATCAAGTATTAAATCATAAGGTAAATAAGCTTGCAATAGGGAAATGTGTATAATAAGAT